GGGACTGCCTTACTTCATTCTATTGCTGAGGACTCTGAAGCCCAGAGAAGTGAGGACACCTACCCGCAGTCACACAGTAGGGAGCAGCAGAGCGGGAGCTAGCCTGGGGCCCTCTTGACCAGTGTTGTTATTGCTATGCATGCTGTGTTGGTGTTGGGTGGTGAAAAGGTGGCAGGGGGCGGGAGGTAGGAAAAAGGCAAAGGCTGGGATAATAAGGTGATGAAATATGATCTCATTCACTCAGACAACACCCCTATTTACAGAGAGAGGATCAGAATAATGTTTAGCACTCTAGCAAAATGCTATGAGCCCTGTGGACACTCATTAAATACTTGACTAAATGATCATGATTCTATTTGCTGATGGAAACACTGAGGTGTCGGGAAATGCCATATCCAGACAGGAGAACTCAACTCCAGTATGTTCCAACATCCAACCTGGACTTCCTCTGCTCACCTACCTCAAACTGGCATCTACCCAAACGCAGTCTGTGACCCGAGAGCTCTGCCGGGTACACGAGGCATTCTTCAAGTGTTCTTTCTTTCCTTGTTTACCCAGCAAGGATTTGTTGAGTACCCTGGAGCCATGGGGGCGAAGCAGTTAAGAACTTGGCTGTTAACCATAAAGGTTGGCAGTTCAAATCCACCAGCCGCTCCTTGGAAGCCCTGTGGGGCAGGTTTACTGGGTCCTATGGGATCACTGTGAGTTGGAATCGACTCAACAGCAAAGGATTTGGTTTGGTTTTTTTGCTGGGCGGTACAAACAGTTAAAACACTCACTGCTGACCAAAAGTTTGGAGGTTCAAGTCCACCCAGAGGCATCTCAGAAGAAAGGTCGGGCGATCTAATTCCGACAAATCAGCTGTTGAAAACTCTGTGGGACACAGTTCTCCTCTGACACACACGAGGTTGCCATGAGTTGGGGTTGACTTGAGGGCAATTGGTTTCATTCTACTGACAGCTCTGTTTGCATCCTGGTGGATGTGGGGGGTGGGGTGGTGAGAAGCACTATGAAATGACGATAGAAAAGACAGAAAGTACACGATTTTTGACTTCCAAGTGTCTTCAGTCTACGTGGGAAATGAAGCCTGCCAGTCATGGAAAAATCAGAGGGAAGAGCCTAGTGTATAATGATGGCATGTAGCCTACCTACACAAAGGCAGAGAACTGAGAAAGGTCCACTGGGGACTCTGGCTGAAAGACTATGAGATAAGGATGATATGTGTCCATTAGAAAGGCAGGATTCCAGAGCAGTCTATGGAGAGATGGGTTTGCCTAGGCCCCAGGCAAACCGTTATCATGAAGGGACAAAAAAACACTCAACCTACATTTAATCAGAGGCATCCTGAGTTACACTACATCAAGGACTGCCTGACCACAAAGAACAAGAAGCATTTCTATCTTACCCCATAGCAGTGAAACAAAAAACAAACAAAAAAACCCAAACCCGTTGCCATTGAGTAAATTCTAATTCATGGCAACCCCATGCGTGTCAGAGTAGAACTGTGCTCCCCGGGGTTTGCAATGACTGTAATCTTTACAGAAGCAGCTCACCAGACCTTTCTTCTGCAGGGCCACTGGGTGAGTTCTAACCACCAACCTTTAGGTCAGTAGCTGCGTACAAACTGTTGGCGCCACCAGGGACCTATAGAGATGAACAAGGTAGATCAAAAAGGACGAGGAAGCAAAGAGGGTGGAGCTGAGGGCAGACGCCCAGAGCCCATAGGTCACAGTGAAGCGAACAGCTGGGCTCTGGGATTCTGCTGTATGACACAGGCCTTCCAAGTGGCGGCCCTACAACCCAAATATAAAATCACCAGCTCCT